ATCGTGCAAAAAAGACATTTCTAATGTTTTGCCAGAAAAGCCTTGAATATTTTGATGTACTACATGGATACGGTTAGACTTTTCTGTTGTTGTGTTTTTCAGTTTAAATTATGGTTAGTAATGAGTATACTGTTGCTACTTAAAGTAGGAGCATTGTCGTGGGACTGTGTTATATCTTCTATAACAGCGTCCTTAACATTAAAAGATAGCAAACTAGCTATATGTCTCAGATACCTTATGGAAAAGTAAATTATCCTCAAAAAATTTGAAGTTCCTTACGAACTTATTGATGTCAAAACAAAATATAACGTCACTATGACGGCAACTCAAATTATGAATGTGCGATTTTATGTTATATATATACTTATTACGAGCGACGCCTAGGTTAGAGCAGCAAGGGAATGCACTTAGTATGAATTTACACCCACACTTCTCATGAATTCTCATGAACACGTCAATGCTACTATTTACTTCTTTTTTACTAATGTTATTACTATCACCTATTATAAGAATCGCTGTTGTTTATTTATCAAAGTTGCAACCACTTAACAGTGTAATAATTTGACTAAAAGTAGCTCCTGGATAGCAATAGTGACTACCCTTTGTTTTAAGTGGCTACTTAGGTGGTAGCCTAGTGCTACGCCTATTGTATCAGAAAAAGCTACCGTTCTTCTGGATGGCCTGGTAGGAGTTCTAATGGTCTTGGTTGACCGTTGACTCTGACGAACTTCAACAGTTGTAGTGGAGCAGATACGTTTTCCTGCAGCAACGCTGGCATACGTTGCACGTGCTGGTTGCGTTGATGATGTGGGTGGTGAGGATGGAGTCTGATTTATTTCTACATCATTTGTTTCACTAAGCTCATCCTGAAGAAGGACTTGAGTAAGTTCTCTATACTCAGTACCCAGCTTTAAAAGCTCATTAGTTGCAGAAAGTTCTACTAGTTGTTTCTGCGTTGTTATTCCAAAACTGGATCGACTAAAACATCATAACGATGGGGCACTAAAAGCCCTCCCCCAAAATTAAGTCCTCTCACGTCTTTCCACCTATTGTTGCGAATTTAAATAGTGACTGTATAGTTTCTTTGCTACAACTAGTGCTGAAACGAGGGCATGATAAATAAGCTTCCTTGTCCCAAAATTCTTTGCTTTGCTAGCCCAATGACTCAAAGTATGTCGTCCTCCGAAACGATGACGCCACTGTCTTCAATCCTGTCAGTCCTCTCACCAATTAATAGCTAAGAAATACACTGGAAGGCCGCTAAGCGTGTTCTTCGGTACCTTAAAGGCACCAAGGATCACCGACTACATTTTAAACCATCAGGTCAGTTCCAACCCGTGTGTTATGTTGATGCCGACTATGGAAACAATCTTGTGGACCGACGTTCATACACCGGTTTTGTATTTTTATTGAACGGTACCCCTATATCATGGGAAGCTCGCAAGCAGCGTACAGTAGCGCTTTCCACGACAGAAGCCGAGTACATGGCTCTGGCGGAGGCTTGCAAGGAGGCTATTTACCTCAAATCGTTCATAACCGAAGTATTCGCCGTCACTCCACAACCCATCATCATACACACTGACAATCAAAGTTCTATCAAATTACCACACAATAACACTTATCATGCACGCACCAAACATATTGACATTAAACACCACTTCATCCGCGACTCACTTATATTACATAATCTTCACCTGAAATACATACCCACACAAGACATGATTGCGGACATTTTCACAAAACCGTTGCCGAAACTAAAGCACACCAAATGTGCACACTTATTAAGTTTAGGTTAAGGTTTTGTTGTATGTATATAGGGTGTGTAAGTTAGTCATAGGTAGGTGTATATACAGGTTGATATTTTTATATTCAATGTTTATTGGTGTGCAGTGTTTTATATGTATAATTTAAGTGTGTGTGTGAACACACTTTGTTATTGTCAACAGGATGTTCACATTGCGGGGGGGTGTTAAACCTGCTTGGTTTCAATGGGAACATCCTGGCCGCTGTATGGTAGATGCGACAGTTATTCAAATAACTGTCAAAGTATTATTTGTCTGTGCCAGTCTGTGCTTCCAAAATTATAATAAATAATTTCAGATTGTATTGTCATTTTTGCAACGAACAATTCCCGACACCGGAAGCATGCACCATACATTCCTACAACCATTGGTTTGAGAACAAAACATGCGATCGATGTGGGGAGCAGCTGCCAGATGCCGAAAGTTTAATGAGACATAAAGGGCAGTTTAAAAAGAGTTTGTATCCTAGAAAATATGTAAGAAGAACTGCACATTTTGTTGCAAAGGATGATACGTCTACTTGGGATAGTTATAAATGTATTTGTCAGGTAAATGTAGATTGAATAATATCTATAAATCTTCTAGTATAGACTCATACTACTTTCATGATATACCCAGAGCTTTAACTGAATGTTGTAGCTTTGATAAGCACATGTCTAATTCCAAGATAAGAAAGTACAAAGATTGTAGATTCTGTCACGAAGCTGATGAGACTCCTCCGTACTTTCTTAGCCGATGCTACTGTTCATGTACTGTTCCTAGGCAAGCGCATACTTCAAAATTGCTAGCTCTTTCTCTTGTTTCTTGCTTCTTTAATACTGTTGGTCTTAACTCCAAGTTTTAATGAAGTGCCGTGTGCTGGCCCTAAATGAAGCCACCGTAAAAATAATACCCGTAGATAATGGTAAGTGTAATAATAGCGTAGTGTAATAATTAGTCCAAACACTTATTTTGCCCTTCTTAGACTATGCTGATTCCTGCTATTTGGATGCTACTGAAGAACTGCTAAATAAGCTTGAACGACTGCAAAACCTATGTATAAGGTTCATCTTTGGGCTTCGTAAATATGACCGAATTTCACATTTCCGCAGTCAGCTCAAATGGCTTCCCATCCGTCTCCGCAGGAATTTGCATATTGTCTCCATTCTTTACAATATTTTACATAACCCTGTGTCTCCCGGGTACCTGAAAGAGCGTTTCAGCTTCCTTAGGTCCCAGGATAAACCCTGTCGCTCTCTTGTTAGGTCCCAGTTATCTTTTCCATGCTTCAATTCCGGTTTCTATTCTCACTCCTTCACTGTTCATGCGGTCAGACTTTGGAATGCACTTCCTATTACTGTTCACGAAAGTAAATCGTTAGCTATTTTTAAAGTGAGAGTTAAAGAGCATTATTTATCTACTATTCCATCCATATCTTAGGTATTATATTATAAAATATGTATTTATCTAAGTATTTATATAATTTATAACAATTTAATATTTTTATATTATTTTTATATTTTTTTTTTTTTTGTTTTGTTGTGCACATATGCCCGTTCTTTTAGTTATAGTGTCCTGTATTTAGGTCTGCAGGAAGAAATTTCTATTAGAAATAAGCAGAACCTTTTGTTTTTAATTTCGCTTGTATTCTTTGTGACTTGTTGTATTTTTCCTGTACAATAAACTATTAAATAAATAAATAAATAAATAGCTTATTTGTATATAAGTAGAACATTAAAACTGCTGGCGAATCTAATAAATAAAATAAAAACTAAAAAGCAATTAATTTACGTCGTCAAAAGTATATCACGACACGACGACATGCAGAACGAATTCGAATAGAGAAAACTTTTTTGACTAACGTGGTTTTCTGGAAAGGCATAAAAGTATTGTTAGGCGCGCGGTTCATGCCGTTTATTTGTAACAGGATACACATAACTTTTCTTCGGGATAATATTATTTGATCCTCAATTAAGTTTTTATGTTTGATACAAATATACATTGTTCCGTCTATATTAGTTAATCTACGGATAAATTATAAATGAACTGCGTTCAAGGTAACACTATTATTATGTTTAAGAACACTAAATTAATATTTGGTATTCAAAAATAATATTTGATCCTATTTTTAATAAACTTCAAAAAAGGAGGAGGTTCTCAATTCGTCTCTATGTTTTTTTTATTTTTATTGGAAAAGGGTACCTCAGTAATGGTCCCATTTAAATTTGAAGAAAATATTCCACCTCTAAGGGTGGTAAACTAGATGATGAAACCGGATGAATCCGGTTTTAATAAAACTTTGCAAATAATTCCACGAAGTTTTGAGGTCAGTTTTTTTTGTATTCTGTACTGAGATTATTTTATTATTGGTCTTTTCTTTAACGATTGATGATGACGTTAATTACCAGTATATCTTTTGATATTGATCTTCTAATAAATCTTGGTTGCGCCCTCCATTGAGTAGGTTAGGTTAGGTTAGTATGTGAAAAAGTAGAAGCCACTTTGCTTGTTTCCGAACATATTTTCAGGTCACATTATATTATAATTAGTATAATATTAGTATACAAATATAATCAACATTTACTTAGTTATAAAAACAAGTATCTAAATTTTATTTTCAATGCTCATTTGTCTTAGTTTTGAGGCCTAACAGCATTGACTTACAAATAAATGGACGACGGGTCTAATACAAAAACCACGAAAAAAATGTCCCAAGTCAACCTATTTAAACGTAGTGACATGTAAAGGAATATGAAAAAGTTAAAACGTTGAATTTAAATTGTGATGTCATCGCAGTACTGTCTAATTTTGCTTGCTTCGCTGTCAGTCGAATAAACGAAGACTAAAGCGTGAATGACGCTCTGTATACGATTTTAACGCCCTATAAGTTCGGACACTTTTTAGCGCGGACCCGACGTCCATATAATTGTAAGTCAATGCCTAACAGTCAAACATTTATCAAAGTTTATTTATACAAATGAAACCATTTTTTGCGTAGCTTAGAACATATTAACTGCCTCCGTGGCTGAACGGTTACCACGCCGGACTGCTACGCAGAGGTCCCAGGTTCGATTCCCGGGCCGGGAGAAATATTTGTATGGCCTACATTTGTTTCTCCCGTGAGTTTGGGTGTAATTAGTGGTTGTCTATATGTGTGTCCATGGCACCCGCGACACAGGGTTTCCCTAGTGCGGGGCTATGTTGAGTGTGTGAGTTATTATTATTATTATTTAGATTAAAATATCGATTAATATAATTTATTTAGAGAAAAAGAGCAATCATTAAAAAATATACCGTTAAGATTCTTTTGCCTGCTGCTTTTGCAAATTTAAATTGATCATTTACTTTTCTCTATTTTTCAGGTATGTCACTTGTATACTGAAGACATTGCGACTCTTCGAAAACACGCTGAAGAAGTCCATGTGAAATGTTTCGTCAACAAATGCTTCGATTGTCTGTACGTTCCTCGTGACTATAAGAGTTTTGTCAATCATGTCCTACAGCACAGACCTTGGTTGAAGTAAGTAGTATATCTATTAATTAAATAATTATAACTTAACATAGAAGAACGACTGGTAACCTAGTAATTTAACGAACCCTGGACGCCTGGCAAGAGGAGTATTCTGTGTCCGCAAAAGGCAGCATCACCAAATTGTTTTCTCCGCACATACGCCAGGTGGACCGAGTAATCGGGAAAGTTGGCGTATCCTATTGGCTGACTCAGGCGCAGACTGGTCACGGTTCAGATGCTGCGATGACCCTAGATGCATGTGCTCCCCAGACGCCGCACAGACGCTCGAACATGTCCTGAACGAATGCCCCGTATTCGGTCCCAACAGGTTGAAGCTCGATTTCGAGGTCGACGAGAAACTCTCGACCTCGATATGGAGCGTCCTCCTGCGAGGGAAGCGTTCAGGACCGAAATTGCCGATTTCTGTGTGGCGGTTGATGAAAGCAGTAGTGCAGGCCAACAAGGCGAAAACAAAGCCTCCGTAGTGCGGAGGGGACAACCCGGTCGTAATTATTACTTAAATTCTGACGCAATATTTTATTTGATATTTATTTTTTTTCACAGTGATTTACACTATTTTATTATTTTTTTACAATTTTATGACACTATTATTATTTTAACAATTTTACAAATGACTTTATACAATTTAGATTAATAAAAAACATGGATTTTATTTTATTTCAATTTTAAAATTTTTAATTAAAAAATAAATAAAATGAATAATAAAATGCATTTATTTTGGACTACAATAAGAACCATAAAAAATTTTAGTATTACAGCAAAAACTTCAATGACTATGTTAGTACGTAAATTAAATGAAGAGAGGACCAGTGCCTTAGCAGTCCACTGTCACATCTGTGTGCAACAACTATCAAGAGTTTGTGGCAGCTGCCGCGCACGCAACGTCGCTTCGAAGCCGTCAAGGCTCGCATCCGCGAACATCCCGGACGCACTACAGTGACGCGGCAGCCGCAACAGAACCCTGAACGCGTCGTTGTACTGTACACGCATTGCATTTAGTGACTTTTGCGTGTACCAGCACCATAAACTAAAGGTGTACAACGATGTGCAGTAAGCTTTAAATAATGTCAGTTTTACCTGTGCCGTACATCGACTGAACCTACGCGCTATCATATTAGCTCTCATTGCTAATGCTCTACGTTCCCTCTCAATATCTGCGTTATCACGCAGATCGTCTTAATGCTGACAATGTTTATTTTTACAAAAATATAATGCTAGTTAGGTAATAAAAACCATATACATGCAAATACATATATAACACATAGTGAATAAAGAAAGAACAATAATAAAAAAAACAAGGAAACTTACATAGAAAATATATATTCAAGGACATTATATATATATTACAATTCAGGGGGTTTACTGCTGTCGTCGAGTATATAACCAGAAATAGAGACGAAATGTCATTTACTTTGTTTTCTGCCATGTCATTACTGTGACAACTGCGCTCCGATTGACCAGCCCGAATTCGAAATAATTGACGGGTGTCGCAAATTGTTTCACTTCAAATCGAACAGTTAACTTGGGCTCTGCTATAATGGACGAAAATTGCAAAATTATATATTTTATTACCGGTGAAATATGATTCCGTTTGTTCTGTAATTAGATGTTTTGCTGTTTTTCCCCACACCAGCGAATGGTACAGCACGCCATTGTTAGAGATATTATCTTTATTACAATAAATACAGAATATTTTTGGGATATATGGAGACGTACCCGCAGGTCAGTTGTTGGCGCTGTCTATATTTCAGTGCAAACGAAAGTTGATATTTATAAGTGACGTATCACTGATGAGTTACCAGGAGTGTATGGCCCTTATTTCGTCTCTATTTCTGGTTATATTATTATTACTCGATGACAATTGCTGTCAAATACGCAAGATGCGAATGGAGCTTCATTCGTGACATTGTTTTTTTTTTTGGTCAAGTATTACAAGTATATTACCTATTTGACATTAAGAGGGAGCATGTCAAAACAGTTTTGACGTTGGCTCCGCCCAAATTTGTGAAACAAATATATGCCTGAAGTTCGCGTGAGATGCGACAGGAGATGTTGAATTTTGCGCATTAAAAGTACCAAATTCGTTTTAGCGGAATAACTCTAAAACTAAAGGGATTAAAAAAATATCCGTTGTGGCAGTTGTCTATCATGCATAAATATAATTAATTATCTAATTTTTGTCCTAATAACCTGTAGCAATTCGAGGATAAATCGAAAAAATGTGAAAATTAGAGGTCATTTCGTGATTTTTATCTGTCGAGGAAACTTCATTGTTTTATGTTTCTGATTAATGTCTATGCTTTAATATATCGTGTACTCACACAATATTTTATTTTTAACTTTAAAGTGGATATACCCCTCTAAAATCAAATCGAAAATTAGGAATTTTTCCTCTGCTCCCTCTTAATTTGTTTTGCATGGAATGTCGAACGAGAACGAGAGTAGACCTGCAAGACAAAGTGCTTCAAATCCTACAGAACGGTGACAGTACCCTTTACTGCTACTACTACGCTTTAAGGCGAGTCTTCGGAGAAGCGAGGAAAACTGTTTTGCTAGACCATTTGGTTTATTTACTATCAAATAACGGTCTCACAAATAAATGCGATGCACCGAAGGATATTGTCTAAGGAACGAGCTAATTTGCTAGGTACACTATAGGATATACTTTAGCCGATCATATAAAATCCTAAAAACAGGTTATAATTAAAGAAGAATAAAATATGTAACTTTGTGCATAATTTTGACATGGCGATATTTCTCGTACTACAGAGAACCTGCTAAATTATGGTTTGACCTGAAGCCGTATAACTATAAATTCACAATCTTATCCGAAAATTTGCAAATTACTTATCAATTTAACAACACGTTGCGCTGCCCGCTGCCCCGTCAGCGGCCATTGCGCGCTTGTCGATCTGTGTCAAATTTTCTCCGCCTGCTCTTATTTTATTCATGGTAATATTCAGCGCGTGGATTGCGGGCTGCTGGGGGCGACACCCCCACCTCACCTAAAATCTATGGTCGTGTTGAAATACATCGCCTTAAGTATACAGTTTCTTTTTCAGAACGGAATTTTGCACTTTTAAGATGGTTTTGCGCTCCAAAACAGCATAATGAGGTATTTTTGTACGATTTTAGAGAATTTTTGCAAAAGAATCGCCACAACTATACCGTACAATGCGAAAATGGCCGACTAAGCTCAAGTTGGCACAATTAAGCCTGCAGTTGGCACGCGTGCTATGCTAACTTTGTTAGTTAGCTTCTATATATTTATTGTTTTGTGGCAGTACCACTCGTAGCTTTGAATCGCAAAGATCTGACGGGCACCGCCTGTCACCCTAAGATATAAAGTTGAAAACTCCCAAGTGTTTGTAGTTTTACCCTTATTTTACTTAGAAATAGATATGGTGGCAGTACTTCCCTAGACGAATTTTTCACAAGAATCTTTACTGCTACTAAAACTTGGTTACTACGCTTTAAGTATACAATTTTTTTTTTTCAGAATCCCCTGCCCATATTGTTCCGTACCATTCACAAGAGACAACCCACCCAGGAAACATCTAAGGCAGCATGAAACGGAACACGAAAAACTTTGCAACAAATGCGGTCAAATGTTCCAAGGCAACCAATTTAAGGAGCACGTTCAAAAGTTCAACGTTCAAGGGCACAAATTAAGATTGACCTGCGATGTTTGTTTCAAAGAGTTCAATGCTAAGTCCAATTTACGAGATCACAAAGCAGTGAAACACGGACACATAGACCACGCTCACATTTGTGAAATATGTGGCCAGTCTTATAAAGTTAAAGCCAGGCTCAGACAACACATGAACACGCATTTGCGTAAAAGGAACGTCTGCCAGTACTGCCAACTGTGTTTCCCATCTCCATACGCCTTAAAAAAACACGTCAAAACACATTTAAACTTACAAGACCAGTATATCTGTGACTATTGCGGTATATGTATCAAATCGAAGAGTCATTTGAGAAGACATATGACATGCCACACGTCTAATAAAGAGATGTACAAATGTCAGTATTGCGATAAAACTTTTAGTCAAAAGGAGTATAGGAAGACTCATGAATACTTGCACACGGGGAAAAAGACTTTTCAATGTCAAAAATGTCCCTTGAGCTTCACTAATTGGGGCAATTGCAACAAACACATGATAAGGCGACATGGGATAACCATAGCTAAGACCAGAAGAACGACTGCGGGGCGGTTGAGGGTGAATGAGACCGGAGACGTTGTTGAAGTGAAGGACAATGTCAGGAAATGGCTGAACGACGTTGCTTCGCAGGCTCCATGTACCAAAAGGAAATAATTGTTATCGTAAACGGTATATGGTTAATGCGTCCATGCGTCCCGCTTTCACCGGGACAGTCCCGCTTTTAGGCTTCATGTCCCGCTGTCCCCAAAATACTTAAAAGTGTCCCGCTTCCACAAAATAAAACACACGTAACAATAAATTTAAAAAAAGGCGCGATAAATAATATCTAAAACCAGCCAACCAGGCATCGAGCACCAGACAACACAAGATTAGGTCTTTTTTAAAATTTTTGATTTATTAAACAATTATAGTTTATTTTTTTATAATTAAACATTTCGTAACAATCATAAACGTGTCTTTTATTTTTAAAACAATAATAAATTTACAGGCGTCCCGCTCTGAGGGGAAAATATAATGGTCACGTTATAATGGTAATGGAGATGATAATTTTCATACTGCTGTATCTACCAATTACTCGACCCACTGCTTTAGTAACACACCAAAACCTCGCTAAATATTAGAGTTGCAATGAATATAATACGGTTACTATTCGCCATCGAGTATATTCTGGTTATACACTCGATGCAATTTGCTATTCGACCTATTTTTTTATTGGGCCGAATGCCTATGAATGCCTAACGAGGCGGAAATTAGTACCCAAATTATCGAGTGATTTATATTAATGCTGAAAATTCATTGTAAGTTCGAGGAAACGCAATTTTTCGCTTATTTATCTAAAAGAAAATGTATAATTTAACCAAGTTATTTTTCTTAGAAATCAAAAACAGGTAACAAATACCTACTCATTATGAAGTCAAGATTAAATAAACGGAAAAGAATCAACCAAGTACCTATTTATTTTTGTTAATCAAAATAAAATGACGTCTTTACTGTACTGAAATATAGAATCACTTTCTTCAATAAAATGTCATAAGTTTAACTTATAAACTTCAAAATTAATACCTTTTTTATTAATAAATTAATGAAATAAGTAGTATATTTCGTGCCAATTTTCGTACGTGCGTTAATCACGCGAATAATTTAACCTGGCCGAATTAAATATTGATAATAATAACGTACACACTCATAGCCCCGCACTAGGGAAACCCTGTATCGCGAGTGCCGTGACACAGCACAGACAACCACAAATTACAAACAAACTCGCGAGAAAAATAAATGTAGGCATTGCAAATATTTTTCCTCGCCCGGGAATCGAATCCGGACCTCTGCGTGGCAGACCAGAATTCTTATTATATTGTGTTGTGCAAACAGTGTTGCAATATTAGTTACAACACCGTTAAATATCGATATCAATGGTATGAACCGGCAATAGATCAATTGATTATGCATATCGAAAGACAAAAATTAAATGAAAGGGAGTCATAAAAAGTAGAACAAAACTGGTAATGGCTGTGATCCGCCTTAATATAATTTTTCCTATCGACAAATTGTACTGAAATAGCAAAATGGTTTATTTTTTATCGAGGTCCTAAAACGAGCCAATGAATACCCGAGGTGTTGGCCACCCGTGCTTTGTCGAGGGTGTCTATTATTCTGAGGGTTTTTATATTGGCTTTTTTACTTCTCATGCTCTAAAAGTACGTCATATAGCCTTACGTACCGGGAGTACAATGTATTAATCCAGGACAGGGAGTAAAAAGTACCAAATTTTTTTTATTTGCTCATTTGCATACTCAAACAGTAGTACGGTCGCTTTTAGTTCCGTGCCTTTTCCGCATTCACACGTAAGGTCGCGTTTATTTGACACGAATTTCATGCACTTTACTCGCGCTACATTGGCGCCACTATATTGGCGTACTTTTAGAGCATGAGAAGTGAAAACAACCTGATTGCGTTGAATCAGAATCCTTGTTTGCTTATTAACATCGGTATGAAAAGCTAGCCTTATTAGCGTATAAATAGCTTACTATACTAGAACTATGGACTAACGTACTACTGAGAAGAAATAAAAACAAGTAAAAATGCAAGGAGTGACATAAGTTGTTAAATCCACCAAGGAAGTAATGCCACCATAATTATTTCTTCCGCCAACCAGATTTACTCTAATGAAAAATCAGTTATCTACTGCATTTTTTTTACATGGCACCATTTGAATTACTTTAAAATCCAAATTTAACCGTCTAGATGAGCAGTTTTATCCTACGATGCAGAAAAACCATTTCCGGAAACCCGGAATTTAAAAAGTAATGAATTAAAATTTGTTTAACAACTCTGTATCATTCGTATTAGCTATATCTAATACATGTACCTATCTATGTATGTGGAATACCTTTTTCCGACCATAGATTATTAGACAGAAATAAATAACTGACCAATAGAGAACAAAGCCGCCTTTCCGGCTAGTTCTACTTGGTCGTTCTTTATTTTGCACTGAAGTGTACCACCACGTCGTGAAGCTTGACGAGCGATAATTATGTCTTTCTTTAATTTTTGTGCCCAAAGAGGTGCAATGTGACAATGCCCAGATCCACAGACTGGGTCTTCAGGAATGTTGAATTTAGGAGCGAAACTTCTGCTAACACAATCAAAAACAGCACTTGGAGCTGTCACGTGCAGCAGCATGCCAGGCAGTTCTTTCGTTTTTTGTAAGTCTGGTGTAGCAGACTCTACTTGCTCTTCATTTTGTAGTACACAAACCAAATCACGGCCCATCCAAGCTTCCAGAGGGCGAAAACCGATGGCTTTTTCCATGTCTTTAGTAACTTCTATAGATATTAAAGAATAGCTTGGAAATTGTATCTCGTATAAATCCTGATTTTTCTTGACAATTAATTCGCCGCTCAATGTTTGAAACGTAATATTAGACAGTGTTTTATCCACATAGTTCATTATTACAAAAGCGGTAGCAAGTGTGGCATGACCACATAAATCGATTTCTCCGCCAGGAGTGAACCACCGTAAACGGTAGCCATTCTTTTCTTTGACAGTAAAGGCCGTATCAGAAAGATTGTTTTCTTGCGCTATTTTCAGCATGAGATCATCTTCAATCCAGTGGTCCAGTACACAAATTGCTGCAGGGTTTCCTTCGAATAGTTGTTCAGCAAACGCATCTACGATATATTGTATCATTTTTAAACACCACTCGTTTCTGAATTAATTGCGTCTATTTCACAAGTATAGTGATAACAAACTGACAACTGCTATCAGTTAAAGCCGAATTTTTAACAATAGTAGTTTGTTATCTCTAAAAATTCACGATCTCCTTGGACACCCAGTGCAAATAGCACGTATTAAATGTTTTTGTACGTGAAACACTTCATAATTAGTTAATATTTACTCGTTTTTTCTTTTTTATTCCTTTACAAACAAAAAATTATAAATATCGATATTCATGTTAACCTAATTCAAGAGTTTACCGTAGCACTACGAAAGAGGAATCAAATTCATAGTAGGTATGGTAATTCTATTACGCATAAGATCATTTTATTGCATAATAAATTATCGAAAATAACACAGTCGCCACCGAGGGGAGTATAGTCAAGATATAACCAATTTCTTTATACCGGCTTCATCGAATTCGACGAAGGTTTTGTCAAAGTCAGGGTTAAAGATGACTATGTACTGCAGTGGCGTAACGTGAGGGATGCAGAGGGGTACGGTAGTTGTAAAAATAATATGAAAATTAAGGCGACAGACGCCAATTTGTAGTTGAAGCATATCAAGCTTGACACTTTATCCCGTTTTATCGTAATAAATTGAATGTGAATAAATATACTTAAATGCACGGAATGTAATTTCACCCTTGACTGTGACTGGAACTAATGATGTTTGTAGCAGATTTGTACCGCGCAAGACAATAGACGTTGAGAAATCATTTAAGAAAAAAACGATTCATTATTTGCTTCTAAGGGCGGCCTCATACACTCGGAATCCCGAAGGCAGCAAAACTATACAAATTCCATTCGATTTTTTTTCCGATTCGAATTTTCGTATGGTGGTTTGTAAAAAAGCGTTCCGAAAGTTTTCACTAGATTTTGTAAAGCCGCAACACACAGTAGTAAATTCCAATTGTTTTTTCGCTGCGAAAACTTAATTAATGCCTCACGTCTTATGCTGAGGGTCGTATTCTAGAACTCTACTCAATGCTCAAGTCAGGATTTGAGTATGGTTTAAAGCACTCGAAATCATACTCAAGTCCCTGCCATTAAGGTCGTATTTCCAGTGCTTGTGTTTCAATTGCAATCCTGACTTGAGCATTGAGTAGAGTTCTAGAATATGACCCTGAGTCTTCTTATTCGAACGGGAATAAACGTATGTGTGTGATGCTGATGTTATACGGAATCTCGAATCGATTTTCCGAAACGGAATTCGAAATTCGTCTGTATGTGGCGGGCACAAGCTATTTATGCTATGTTTTTTTTATTAATAGTTTTGGCTTGGATACAAGTCCTTGAGACATGTCTTCATTTAATTATCGGGATCCTCAGTAATATTTGCCATTGTATGTAGTTTTAACTTTGTCTTAAATAACTTCGTTCACTTATTTGGGTTTATTAAATAGTCTTTTAAACGGCGGGAGTCAATATTTATGTTTTACTTTCACTTAAATCACATTATCTTCTATCACTTTGAACAATAACTTTGAATTCGTAATTAGTGGAGTTTTCAGAATAAACTCTTGCAATTTGGTTTAAAATACGTAATATAGTTCTAACTTTCTTCATCACTATTTCTTTATACGTTTTCTCTTCATAATATACTTTAACTTGTAACTTCAAATACCCGCCATTTTTTTATAGGCTATGTTTTTCCAATAAACGGCATCCAGTAATTAAAAAAAAAACTGACTTTGACAGTGACAATCACAATTGACCTAAATTGTTGTAAGTGTAAGTGTAGGCAACGAGATATGTTGAATAGGAAATTCGTTTACGATTATTATAATATACTGGATTGATAGGATAGGTTGCATCTCCGAGGAAGCCACTTATACAGCTATGAATTTCGACGACTTGTCGTTCTTCTTACCGACAATTCTCGCTGCTATACTTTACTAGAGAATACTTGCAAGGTGAGTGTTTTGTTTGTATTTGTCTTGTGATGGATGACAGAGGTAAGTCTACCCTTAAAGGGCATGAAGCTGATGAGAAACGCCCTAGTGGAGACTCAAAGGGAACAAGCGAATGTCACGGCAAAAAATTGTGTATGCTTTTTATAATTAAAAAAGAAACATGAGAATATGTGAAAATTCAAAAAATACAAGATAAATTAATGCAAATAATCCATAAAATTTAATTTAAAATGTTTTTAATTTAATTTCATTGTAATTTAAATAAAAATGTCATTTTATTTAAAAAAAATACCAACAAAAATTATAGTTGTAGTGAAAACGTAGTAAGTATACAAATTCATTTAAACATAAATAAGGAAATCATTCAGGCATAGTAAAAATGCAAAATACATAATACATTTTAAAGAAATTGTATGAGTATGGTCGGGTTTTAACAAAGTGTAGGTATTTATTATTTATCACTAATAAAATTTTAATTATACATAATGAGCATTCTTACTTCCATAATTTAAAAAAATTAGCATTGTAAGATTAATTAATTATTTTTATACAAACATAGAGCCGAAATAACCTGTGTATATTATGTAATTTGCCGTGATCAAACAACAGCTGTTCTAAATTAGAATATAAAATAAGTTTGGACACATCTAGGTCCAAACAATTCATATAGCCCACAATCCCCACCGCTCAGGCGCGATCACCACCCTGCCGGAGCGAGTTACATAACCATTAGTAGATGATCAACTAGGTTCATCGGCCCGCGCGGATGTGTCACGGGATTCGAACGGCTGCGCGTTGCACGCCGCTCCGTGACGTAAACGCGTTAGCTCTGCGAGTAACGATATCTTCGTAAGGCAGGGAGCACACTGTAGTGTTTTGCATTGTAGGACAGTGGTTAGAATCTCTAATAATATGCCGCCTATTTCTACATTACATTTCAGACATTACTATATCGGGAACACCGTGTCGACTGAAAATAATTTTGAGTTCGTTGATGACGTGATCAGACGTTAATGAACTTAATTGCGCAACTTCGACATATTTCCTGTAATAATCTACTACAACTAAGTATTTGTTTCTATGGAAAGGAAATATATCTACACCTAGTTTCGACCACGCTCTGTTCGGCACGCTGTGAGGAATTAAGGTTTCTTTTCTGTTCTCATTTTTGAATGTAAGGCTTGCCTGACAGTTACTTATGAAGTCCTCTACTTGCGCATTTATGTTTGGCCAGAACATACTCTCTCGGATTCTCAATTTGTATTTGTCTACTCCTAAATGTCCGATGTGTCTTAACACTTCGTTTCGTATTGTGACAGAAATAACTATTCTACCGCCTTTCCACAACATGCCGTACGCTAGCGATAACTCATCGCGGTAGCCCTAATACGACCTAACCAGAGCATCCACCTTATGTCTGTCCATTGGCCACCCATCTTTAACATATTTAGCCAACATTTGCAATTCTGTGTCGTTTTGTGTCTCTTTTTGTATTTTTATGAAATGCGTGTCGAGTAACGGGTTACTCATAGCGATGGCACAGACTTGTGCACGCGAATCCAACTGATCGCGCGGCTCCTCATGTGAGTCGCGCGTCGGTTCTACAGCGCGGGACAACGTATCAGCCATAAATAAATATTTCCCTGGCTTATAAACTAACTTGAAAGTATACGGCTGTAAATGAAGCAGCATTCGCTGTAATCTCGCTGGAGCAGTAGATATCGGCTTGCTAATGATACTGACCAGGGGTTTGTGGTCCGTTTCTATGGTTATGTCTCCTCCAGACATAGATATACGAATAAAATTTCTCACACGCGTTAACAACTGCTAAGAGCTCTTTCCCTATTTGAGCATATGCTTGCTCAGCTTTAGCTTTTTAGAGGACAGCACTGGGCGAGGTGATGATGATGAGGAGTTTAATCCGCCTCGTGGCAGAATCTACATTCTCTATTTTCTCTCTGTCCAATATTTGACATGTGCTTGTTCACGCCACAATGCCCTGTTAAGGCTCTAGTCAGCATTTCCATTTTCTATTTGCCATTCCTGTCCAGTGACAGAGCTTCTCTACAGTGATTGGCACTGAAGGCAGCTATCAGGGCTTTTGAATGCTCAAGACCCTTAGTCTGCAGCCACATCTCACGGGAGACGTGTGAGGTCTCGTTCAGCAAAGTGAGCTTTGCCAGGCTGTGTGCTATCCTTATAAAGGGCTTAGGACCAATGAAGACCTCCCTAGCACCAGTTTTTGCCAGTTCATCCGCTGCTTCATTACCCTTGATGTCAGAGTGACCAGGAACCCAACTCAGGACCACATTATTCCTTTCCCCGAGAGTATTCAGTATAGTAACACAGTTCTCTACAATCCTCGAAGTTTGGGTGACTGAGGTTGGTGCATGCAGAGCGGCTTGACTATCCGAGTTTATATAAATATAACTGTTAACGTAGCCTCTCTTCAAGTTCAGGTCCGCACCACAAGCAATTATGGCGTACATTTCGGCCTGAAAGATAGAGGAGTCTCACGCCGTGTATACCACAGCCTATGTTGGGTCCCATCTTGGACCCATCGGTATACCAAAGAAGGCTACCGTCCTTTCAGGTGCGTCTGTTAGTTTCCCAGTTTTCCCTGGTTTGAAATTCTACCTGGTAGAGTTTCTTGAAGTTTTGCTTGGGAAGCATGACATCAGAAGTCATTCCCAGAGCAGGATGTTCCAGAATTGAGTCCTGGGCAGATCTCAATGTCTGGGAGAGCCATCTAGTCCTTAACCTGGTGGAGAGCCTATACATGCTGTTACCGGCCTCCTTGTGTATGAATACATGCAGGGGAGTCAGATTCAGCAATGCATTTTGGGCCGCTCCAGGTGTAGAGGATATGGCTCCCGTCGCTAGCAGGCACGCGACACGCTGTAGACTGCCCAATGTGGCAATAGTGGTTGTTTGACTGATTTTGCCACTCCAAATAACAGAGGCGTATGTTACTATGGGCCTCACAATTGCCTTGTGTAACCAGTGAGTCAACGCTGTCCTTCCATACGACTACAGATAGTAGAAGCGTCTACACATTTGCGGGTTAGTCCCTTTACGAGAGTACGAATGGGTGTATTGTCAAAAGCACCCTCTATGTCTAGAAAGGCACATAGTGCTATTTGTTTGTCCTCAAACGCTCTTTCAGCCCTGTCTACAAGGTGGAGCAGAGCTGTCTCTGTAGATTTTCCACTTGGTTAGGCGTGTTGAGTGTGATGGATAGGTTTATATATTAAGGACGAAGTCCTAACGTGATTGTCAAGTACCTTCACCATTGCTTTGAGCAAGAATGAGGTTAGGCAGATGGGTCTAAAGAACTTTGCAAGAGAGTAGTCCTTTCTGCCTACCTTTGGTATAAAAAATAATTGACCAGATATGGCAAGAGTACACTTATACCCTGCTGCAGTAAGATGGGAGTAATACTGTCCTCACCTGGGGATTTGTACGATTTAAACGAGCTAATAGCCCAAGCCACTTGTCGAGGTCTTATAATGTTGGCGGCTCTGTTCCAGTCCTCGTTACGAGGTGTATGTACAATAATTATTGGGTTAGTAAGCGAGCCATACAAGGCCCCCGGAAAGTGGGTTGACATTAGAAGCTCAAGGGTTTCTGTCGTAGAAGTCGAGTAGATCCCATCAGACTTTTTTAACAGTCCTGGTTGATGGAAGTTGTCTTTGGCAAGCACTCTGTGTAGACGTGCACCTTGAGGAGCACTAGTGATCTCTTGGCAAAACCGCCTCCACGATGCTCGCTTATCCTTCCTTATCTTATTATAATTGGTTAGGGCCTTCCTGTAGGTCTCCCATTCCTTGCTTGGCCCTATTGAAGAGTCTTAGAGTTTTCTTTCTTAGCTTTCTCAGGTTGCCATTCCACCACGGAACCTTCCTATTGGAAGTCCGAATTTTTGGTGGGCAGCTTTCCTCAAAAGCGCTGATGATGCCCCTGGTAGTGACCTCAACAGCTAACTCTAGACTGTCAGTGGTTTTGATCGATTTTGGACACCCTTGTAGATACTACCCTAGTCTGTCTGTTCATGTACTATGTAAATCTATTAAAATGAACAATTTCCTTCTGTGGTGGTTAATAAATGTTGTGTTGTCTTTTGTTATAGGCTCTCTTTTGAGTGGAGTATGCCATTGGAAATCACTGGTCAAATTCCTAGTAATAAACAGGATGTCTTCCTAAACCTTGACGTTAGCGGAATCATCGATTGTACCCAAGGAGTTATAACACATTTAGCAATTTAATTGTGCGAGTTTGATTCACAAATAGATTATTATTTAGGAAGAAATAATATTGTAATGAAACACAGTCAGTGACAAAAACTGATGTTGTAGTTAATTAACAATGAATTCTTCTTATGAATTCGCTTACTGCAGATTTTGTGCTGAAATTAAACCATTCGATGATTTATTAGATTTAGAAGAAAATCCACAAGATATAAAGGATTGTATAGAAAGAGTGAACTTATTGAAAATTGATTTTGTTAATATTTTGTCTTGCAAATTACCGAAAGTGATATGTGAGCCGTGTTATAATGATTTATACGATGCTTCTCTGTTTATTAGCAAAGTGAAAGAAGCACAAATAATTATAAATGACTTGATTGATACAAAATCTGAGATCGAAAGTCAAGAACATAAATTCGACATTGGAGAAGCGCAATCTGGCACTGGTAATATAGAGGATCCTGACATTGAAAAAAATTATATAGAAATAGGTGAAACAAAAATTAAGTCTGAGAAAGATCCATTACATATTGATGACAATGCTATAGAAGACTTAACCACTTTAGTAGATTCTTCAGAGGCGAGAGAAGATACAGTCAAGGAAGAAATAGCTACTTGTGGTATTATTAAAAATTATAACAATTCGCTAGAGACGCTACAATGTATTGATAGAAACATTCATGACAGTAATGATTTAGTAGATAAAGGACTATTAGAAAATATCACAGATATTGGTGTCTCGAATAACCCATGCCCACGTTTAAAGGTTCGCCTGGAATGTATTTTGAAGGATAACGAAATTCAAGATAGTGTAGGATCAAATGACAATAATTTTAAACCAATTTGGTCAAGTCCAAAAACTGTTGATGGACATGAAGAAAATATTGCAGAACCTGTGAATTATTTTAATGATATTTCATATCATGTGAATGCATCTAATACCTTGAAAGGCCTGTTAACTCTTTCTGACGAGTCAACTCTTTACTCCCCAAATTCATTCCAACGTGTAACTCATGGTGATATTGAAAATATTTCTGAAAATTTTCTTCCAAAGGAGAGACAGATGAATAATAACAATAATAATGATGATTACTTAAAAGGAACACTAAGTAAAGCTATCCAAAATTATGATCAAAACATATTTGCAGACTTAAATGAAAAGGATAAAAATGCAGACAATGTTGTCCAAGACAATCAGTTACATTTACCAGACAATATATCCTGGTCTGAGTACATGTGGTTGTGTCAGCACTGCGACACTGACTACAAATCTATGAGAGTTGTAAGGGAGCACAGCAAGCTGGTACATAACAAATGCTGTGCTTTCAAATGTATTGATTGTCCGGATCTCTTTATATCGTTCATCTCATTTGTTGAACACGTTAGGCAACATAGAAAGAGTTTGAGGTGATTTTTAATTTTTTATCATTATTTAGTAATTTAAGAATAAGAATAACGCACACACTCAACATAGCCCCGCACTAGGGAAACCCTGTGTCGCGGGTGCCATGGACACACATATAGACAACCACACATATTACACCCAAACTCACGAGAGAAATAATTGTAGGCCATACAAATATTTCTCCCGGCCCGGGAATCGAACCTGGGACCTCTGCGTGGCAGTCCGACATGGTAACCGTTCGGCCACGGAGGCAGTTAATTATCAATTTAGTCATTACTCAGCTGATTGTGTTCTATTGATCTATTAGCCTTGACTTGATGCATAAACTATCATTGTTCCCTCAATTGTGACGAAATTCAAAATGTAAGATTTTAGGAAGTAGACATAGGAAATGAAATTATCAGTTAGACGGAAAGAAAAACCAATGTGGAGCTTATTAAATACAATAGAGAAACGAACGGTAAAGATGTTTTAATATCTGATGCGTCACAACGATTTTGGGAAAGAAGTTATTTACAAGGTAACATCGTGTCTTATCAGGAAAGCAAAGTTAGGGCGCTGAAAAGGGATGGCTGACGATTACTCCAGCGACAAGAGCCCCTAGCTCCTAGAAAAAAAAGTTGGTTATAACATTTTAATATTATAATCACTTTTATTCTTGTTTTCAGGCTTTATTGCCCATTCTGCAATGAAAAATTTTCCACTCCGGAAGAATGTGCCAACCACTCTTACAATCACTGGGTTACCAGCAAAGCATGTGACAGATGTGGGGAGCTATTGACAAACACAGAAGAGCTAATGAAACACAATAAACAACATAGAGAGGCTTTTTACCTTAATAAATACGCAAAAACGACAACACCATGCGTCCCTAAAGATGAATCATTTACTTGGGATAATTATGAAATGGCTTGTCAGGTAAGATTGCAGGTACAGGAAATAGGTTTTTTTTTATTTAAAGGAAATTGTCACAACCTTAAAATAGGTGAGGTGAGTGATAAAGAGACCCGACCTCCACATATATAAACGAGAATTTACACAAATTGTAATACAGGGGGCCTACTATGAGCTTATAACCAACTTACAACTTACAACCATGCAATTCACTTGAAGTGGTAAAACTGAATTGCTTAAATTCGTATCATGACCTACACAAAGTTGAATGAGAATGGCATGACAGGATGATGAATTTTACTTTTTAAACGTTAATTAGTGTCTGGCTGGCTAGCTGACATCTAACAAGAACGAGATGGAACTACATACTAAACATATAAAAGAAATAGACAGATGTACTATCCTTGGAGCGTTCAAGCACTATTAACTGATTGTGTTCAAAATGAGAATAATTATATTTTTTTATTAATTTTGTTTATTAATTATACTTATTACGTTGTTTTGTAATATCGGCAACTTTTCAATCATACGTTACAATTTGTCGCACGACAAAATTACATGTCATGTTTAGTCATTGTCATTGAAATGAATAAGGTGAGTTTGTAATAACATAATTGGAATGTATCTTGTATTCGTACATTTTCATTCATTGCATTATAGTCAAATTTGGCTCTATTTAGAATAGAATATGTTTATTTGGCATCACAAACACAAAGAAAAACAAAATAATTAACATATTTACATTTTTAAGAAAAGAACAAGAGACTTATGCTGAATGAACATTAAGTGTGTGGTAAACATTAACAAAAACATGCGTTGATAACGTGATGTCATGCCTGAAAACATTGTGAGTTACTAGGCAAGCCTGTCCTGTGGTGACCCTTTTACGGTTTCAATTTCTTAATCCCGGCATAGCGTTATACGTTGCGTTACGATTATATTTTACAAATAATAAGAACTTATGTATCCATTAAATCCAACATAAGGATAGGAATTATTATAGATTGTATTAAGTAAAATAGCATGAATTTAAAATAATTGTGATCAACATATTATTACAAAAAGAAATATTTATATTTAATAATAATAATTACTAACTACTAAGGTGCTTCACGCGAATGAAAATGTAATCTTGTTCACAACTGGAAACTCACACCAATAGCTACCCCAGCAGGCAGTTACTCCCAACTTGACAACTCCTGTCAAAACAATGAATGGCAACATGTCTTTATTGATCATGGCAGTCTGAGGGTCGTATTCCAGAACTCTACTCAATACTCAAGTCAGGATTTGAGCAGACTCGAGTATGATTTCAAGCACTGGAAATACGACCCTAATGGAAAGGACTTGAGTATGATTTCTAGTGCGTTGAATCATACTTGAGCGTTGAGTATGCTCAAGTCAGGATTGCACTGGAAGGAAACACAAGCACTGGAAATACGACCCTAATGGCAGGGACTTGAGTATGATTTCAAGCACTGGAAATACGACCCTAAAGGCAAGAACTTGAGTATGATTTCTAGTGCTATAAATCATAAACAAGTCCTGACTTGAGGATGGAAAAAAAAGAAAGGAGCTGCCTTAACTACGGAATGTACGTGCATACCTAAACAAAATTGAACAAACAAATGGCGGATTTGTTTAGTGTCGTACCTTAATCTATTTATAAGTCATTATCGATATGCAAACATTTAATTAAAGCAGAACAATATTCCATTTGGGAATATTTTAGGTTATATGGGAATATCCGGGAATGTCACATGAAATTTTGAATTTATTGTTTTGCGTTTACAAATACTCAAATATTACGAAAAGTGAATTTGCACAGAAAAAATGTAATTTGAGAGTATATAAAAAAAGAGAAGCATGCAAATGTCTGATTATGCAATGTCAATTAACTACTGTTGGCCGAGCCCTTTGATTTGTGCAGAAAAATCGACACTTCACCGAAGTGAGACTAGTACTCACAAGCGACTGCGATTTGTGACAAGCCACCTCATACGAGCTGTATACACGTTAGCGCTCGGTCAGCTAGGCGAGTAACATCGAACGATGGCAAAGCAAGGCAAGGCAAATAGCTGTCTATGCCCTGGTACTGGCCTTCATCCGGAAACGTTGGACCAACATGGTCATTGTATTACTGGCTTTATAAAATAATAATTTTTAGTAGTTAGAGTTGTCAGTGGGAAAAAATCGGAAACGAGTGGATAATTTTGTTTTTAGGAACTGAAAATGCCTAGTAAACGAGTCTTGTTTAATCTAAATATATAATTATTTACCAATAAATAATGATGGAATTGCATTAACTTGAAATATTAGAAATAATAATAATAAAATAATAAAAACCTCGTAGTGAATTATTTTAATTACAGAATATTGATAATATGTACACTTCCAAAGAACAACACTATCTCAAAATAATCGTTAAGAACAGTCCCCAAAATATACAAACAAACAGGCAATCTGAAGAAACCAAAGCAAAATTTGGCAAGATTTATGAATAAACTACTTAAATATGTCTAATTACATGAGACATTTGGGCTTTTGTGTGATTTATAGACAGAAAAATAACACGTGCCTGTACAATGTTACATTCGTTCGATTTTAGCTTTTTCTAATGCCACATCCCGTAATGCTGCAGCAAAGAATTTTTATTAATACTTAATTGTTCTCACTGTCAATATTCTTGTCTATTTTATTACAATACATGCGAATAATTCAATAAAACACTTGGAAAAACCTTTGTTTTGA